ATTGGTCAAATGTCACTGGGTCATAAAATGTTGTTAGAGTATGTAACCGCAACTTGTGACCCTCTCTGGTGCGATATTTGTGTATTATGCAATTATTTAGCGTGAAACGTAGGGGTCCGAGAGAGAACAGCCGATTTATGACACTTCGTTTGATGCGGGTCGAACTAACTTTGAATCGGCATAAACTTTTTTAATAATCAAGCAATTAACATGCGGTTTAAAGCACATGAAAGGGAATTCATTTATGGAGGGAACCGTGTCAGGGATTTTTGTTTGCTCAATCAGCGACTTAATTATCTTTAATTACGTAATATGTATGGTGAAAAAAGTCGCATAAAATGTTTGACGTTACGTAATATTTTTTTTGAGAAAAGATAGAAAATATTTGAGACACGGTTCCCCAGATATTATAAGTATGTTTATTTTCCAAAAGTTTGATGACAAAAAAAATAAAAAATGACTTTGATATGACGATTTAAAATTTTATGATTTTTATTAAAAATCAATCATTTACAAAGGAATTGTTTTCGAATATGTTATTTTTTATGATGATCAACGACATTTAATGCACAAAGATTAAATAAATAACAATTATTACTAAAATAAGTTGGTTTAAATGACATTTATGTGAGTACCACGGAAAGTGTCTGTTGTCACCTTTAGTATAAAATAGGATTTTTCTCAATATCAGTAGCTTTGTGTTAGATTAGGAATCTTCTTAGCATTTGGGAAACCCTGAATTTTTTTCAATGACAAAAGTTTTTTTCTAAATAGACTAAAATTTTTAATCAAATTAAAGGGCTCTATTTTTTGGTTTTAAAATTTTTTAAACGTTATGATAGTAATTATGTTTTGCAGGGAATTATGGTTAACTATTTAGAGTATTTTAAAATTTTTTTTAAAAATATATTTTTATATATTAAAATTGGGAAAAAATTTATTTTCAAAACCTTTTTAATCTGTTTATGTTTAAAAATACTTTTCTTATCATTGTAATGTTTCTTAATTTTAAAAAAAGAATAATTTTAGTGATTTTAATTTGTTTAAACGATTTTAAAATTTTGTTCAATCATTTTTGTTGCATTAGCATTTTTTTTTTTAAAACTTTAAATTGCAATGAAATTTAAAGGCCTTATTCATTAATTTTTGTTCTCTAAATAACATTTGTCATGTTCTGTGAGGATTATAAGATAATGAATAAAATATCAAGTTTTCATTTAGCAATAGTTTATACATTTTATGTGTTTTGTTTTTCTAGTTAAAAATTTTTAACACCAGGTCACAAATGGTAGATATATTGATTGAATGTGTGAATTATGTATGTGTTTATCTTATTTGTTTTCCGCCAAACTGATTTTATTTACAGCCTGTTGAAACGTAAAAAGGAAAGACCAAACCTTACTCAATATGGATATAAGATACCGGTTCGCCTTGATTTATGTTGTCCTAGTTTTCATAACATTCACTGCAGTAAGAGGACAATTCTGCAAGAAAGACAGAGGACGGTGTAAAGACACAAATATAATACCGGAAAGGGAGGGCGCTGTGCCCGTATAAAAAGTGGTTTTTGTGATGTGATTGGTGCTTGCAACTGTAGATGTTGGACTGGGCAAGCTCAGGGATGGACAAAATTGATTAATGGATAAGTTTGAACGAGTGCAAATTATACAACCAACCGAACAAACAAAACAACAGTGTAAATTTGAATATATTAACTTGCAACGATAAGAACATTTTGATTATAGTTGATTGTTTTTAACTTGAACAAATTTTTAATGTTGCTGAAGTACTTTCAAATATTTTAATATCTAATTTTCAAAAACAGTCGTATATATGTGCAAACTGTAAATATGTATAGTTTCAATAAATTTTATGTATCATTATATTGTATCTGTATAGGATGTTTTCAAAGGCTAACAATTTCCAAGCAGTACTTGTACATGGAAATGATATGATTTATGTAGCAGATATACATTGTATTTCGAATATAAAATGATAACACAAATATTTACAGACAAGAAAGACCTTTAGTGAAAAGAATGCGGGGGAAGGGGTTTTTCTGGTTTAAGAAGGGATGGGAAGATGGGTTTCACTGTCCCCTTATCTCTCATGAACATACCCAATCAACCGATCCCAACCGTTCGTTTTTTGCGTGACTTCCAAAGGGACAAAAAAATAAAAAAATTTCTGGTTTTACTTAAGCCCGTTTCTTGGGGCACTTTTGATTTTTGTTTTCTGGGAAAAACTAAAAAATTTAAATTAGGAAAAAAAGATTTATTCAAAGCAAAACAAAACAAAACAACAAAAAAACAACAAAACTTTAAAAACATTATAAAAGCATAATGTTGAGATACTACATTTTTTATTGATCTAAATTGAAATTATAGTACCCTTTAATTCCCTTGATTTATAAAAAAGTTCTATATCTCAAATTTCTTTTCAAAAAAAATTAATTAAAATTTTAATAAATTTTTTCTAAAAAATGAATTTAAGCATGAAAAGGACTGCTTAAACTGTACTTTTAAAGGAAAAAAACGGTAATAAAAAACCCGGTAAAAATTTGTCAACAAAATAGGCGGATATATTAATTATGTAAAGCTGTCACCGGACACACGAGTAAGATATGCCTAATTTAGTTAATTGATGGGCATGTCATCACATGAGCGGTGATTGTACCTATAGCGAGTAAACATAATTGTTGATTTAATTGTTAGCTGTCCGGAAACGCATATTTGCAGTTATGAATTATGGGTTAATAAAGTTTAAGGCGTATAATATTTTACTATTTAAGGTAAGCAAAATATTACATTTTCTAGTGTGGTTTTTGATGTTAAATAGACTCACTCACTCAGGTTAAATTATGCTAAATACGCAGTTGACATTAATTCTTATTGCTTTACGTATTTGTTTAAGTATTGTGAAATTGTTAAAGACACTGATTAAGCAATTGTTTTATTTTATAGAATAATATCTTATACTAAATAAATACATATATCTGACGTTTATGAACTTGATATTGTGTTGACTAATTACCGTCTAATTACCGTTATCCTACAACTTGAATCTTTCAATTGAATTAGGTAGTAACTAACTGCAGCCCTAAGGTAGTCTTACTGTAATGCTTTTCGGCAAAAAATCTCTAACATCGGCCAATATCGTAGCAACATCGGTTATTTCCGGAACTTTATTTTTTTCAAAATTGGCATTAGATTATTTGCAATCACTCATCCTTTATCGTTTTGCACAAAATTCCGGTTATAAACGGTTAAAAATTATTGAATACCGAAAATTATGAAAAGTAACGTTCATGATATTACCGGTTTATTACGATATTTGCCGATGTTAGAAAATTGTTGGCAGTAAGACATTTAATTGAAAAGCTACCAGAACAATGTTGAAACTACAAGACACTAAAAGCAGGGACTGTAATCTTATAGATACTGATTTTCAGTTAGTTATGTTTACGTCCCTTGTCATGTACGGACCATATATACGAATTTTCAGGAATATGATAAAACAAATATTAATATGTAAAAAAGCTAAATGTTACTGGTTGATAATGGCTAGAATTTATAAAAGGCATAACATGTATTGAGTTTCGGTCAAGTCTTATACATTTCCTCTTTCCCCATTTAAAGTGTTATTTATTTCTTTTCAAATATTGTAAACAGATATTGTCAGAATGGTACTTTACATATTAAAATCATTCTTTTTCTCGTCAGTTAATAATGTATTTTTTATTGTTGGTATAGTGTGATTACCCACTAATAGATCAAATGTCGTAATGCCAAAAGGTATATATCAAATTATCATTGTCTCGAACATTTGTCAAAATTTGTTGTTATTCAGCGTCGACGAATTGTGTTTTTGGAAAATTTGTCGTATATATCATTCATTTGTGTTTAATATTTATTGAAAACCTTAACCTTTGTAGATGTTTTTCATTTGTATTCAATAACTTAGAATTGTATTAAATAACAATGACGTTAAAAAGAGTGCATTGTGGTTATATTAAATGCCATATGACAACATTGTCTCCTGTATAAAGTAAACTTACTGTCCTAGCCTAAATTATTTCACACCTTTCAGTGATTTCACCATGTGATCTCCAACTTTAATTCATTATGAGATTCAATCCTATCAATTTAACCTCGTTTTCATTTTTGCCAGTCCAAATATTCATTGAATATCATATCAATATTGCACTCCGTATGGCCTCGTTCTCATTTTCAGATTTAAAAACAATATCAAAATCATATTGTTTTCGACGGAACAAAGGGTAGGTAAAATATTGAACATTTGGTGGTGATTAAAATGATGTAATTGTTGCGTACAATACTAATTCTCATAAACTCGTAAATAGCTGTAAATTCGGCTAGCTAGTCAAATATACGGCTGACACCAAAGATGTATACTAAAAAGTTATTTAGAATGGGAGATCACATGGTACAATGGCTCGAAGTTCATTGATTATATTTTATATGGTTTAAAAAAAATCAGTTTAAATGACAGCGAAAAATCCCCCAGAACAATGTTCAAGAGTTTTTTGAAAAATAATAACATATGTACGTCAACTTGATTTACATAAACCTCCGCAATTTGTACCGGATGCTTTCAATGACTATGTCGGAGATGTGATACAGGTAGTATAAATTACAAAGTATTTTCTCATTGTTGATAACCAAAAAGATTTTGGGATAACAAGGTGATTTATCAGAATAATTTATTCAGGGGGGGGGGGGGGTGAGAGTCTCAAATATAGGAGCACAATCAAGACATTTTGTAATTGTAAGTTTAAAATATTAAACGGATTAGATTATATAGAGAAATAATATAAACATTGTTTTGAAGTGTTTTAACGATAAAAGTACCTTTCAGAGAAAGGTTATTTCGTTATTAAACATTTGCATTGGAATTTTATAGAGAATGTTAGGAAAAATATTAAAAAATATCAATGTATTTGAAAGTAGTGTATATATTCATTTTTATAGTAATTAATTTCTTGATACATGTAGTTAATTTCACAAAAGGATAAACAAATTAATATAATTTAAAAACTAAAGAAATCATTTTCTTCCAGCCTGTGAGTAAGCGAAAAGAGACAATAATCTAAATACTAGAAACTCAAGCTTGTATCTTCGAGAAAATGAAGTTTGTATTGCATACTCTGCAAGCAACTTGCATAGTGCTTCTTATTGCTGTATGTGTGCAGGAGATAGTTTGCCAAAGATGCCAAATGATTGGACATTCATGTCGAGATACTGGGCCTTTCTTTGGAGGGAACGGTCGTTGTGCGAGAAGCAGGCCGTCTTTTAGCTGTATAAGGATTGGGAGAAAGTGTCGATGTCGATCGTCGATGATTCTGAACATTACCCCACCACCTCAACTAGTTGGCACAGTTGGCGAGTCAACTAATATAACGGAATCTATGTAAGTGACTTCAAATATTGGTCATTTGTGCCTTCAGTTACATAGAATGATTAAAAATGACTTTGATATGTTTAATCAGTGCATGTGAGTAAATACAGTTTTCAGTATAATTAAAACGTCGTATTGTTTAGTATAAGTGCAGGTGGTAAAATATTATCAGGCTGTTAAAACATTTTAATTTACATATCGTGAGTAATTCTTCTATATCAACATTTTGTCTATTATATTTACGTAAGAAAAACCCTTCATACAATCTCTAAATTCAATTAGGACAGCAATATTGAAAGTTAAACGCTTAGACGAAAATAAATTCATTGACATGTAATTAAAAACTAACACCAAGTTAAAGATACTTTTTAATATATGTATTTGAGAAAGAAAGGAAACAATATATAAAACAAAAATATATACTATATTATACTGTAGCAAATCAATGGAACTTTATCAAGCTTTAAACTGAATTTCGATCCTCGATCTTCGATGTCAGTGTTTTAGTAAATCATACATTTTTGTTTTGCAATTTCAACTGTATTTATTCTCTCAATGCAATTGTCGCGACACGTAATTCGATATCATTAATATATCATTTACTTAAATACTTCTGTTCTGAAATAACAATGATTGTTACAATAGCATATTCATATGAGCAGGGATTTGTTCAGAGTCATTCATCATAAGGTTAGATTATTATAACGGAAATAAAATAATTCTTATACCTGAAATTGTGTGGAATTGATAAATCTGTTTAGGAATATAATTAAAGCACAATCAATAACGTTACCTTTTCGTATGTTAATGAAGTTGATAACTTTTATTTTCAGAACAAGAATCGAATAAGACAACAAAAGCAGACACAGTAAACACTGGACCAATAATGAATATGCATAGATTTAAAACAGTGTTGATGATTTTTATTTTGTTCGTTGTTTTACAAGAAGTGGTTGGGCAGAAGTGTGTACGGCGGGGATATAGATGCCGAGATCGCAAACCACCAGGAAACGACCATGGGCTGTGTGAAAGTACAGGATCTTCGTATAGATGTATTAGGATAGGCAGATACTGCAGATGTCAGTCAACAGAAGTATTGAACGATCCTGCACCGTTTCCTACAGAATCTACTGATGACTTTTTCATCGATATTGACATAAATAAATGAGTTTAGACGAAAAGGAAACACATGCTCTGTGTAACTTACCACTGCGTTATAATAATCAAGACTGGATTTTATTCCACTTGAATAAACGTATTTTAACATAATGTTTTGTCGTGTCTTTACAAGCTTTTGTGTTTTCATCATAGAATTTATAAACAATTTAATACAAACAATGTAAGCAGAAACACATTTTAATGATTATCTTATTCGGTACATTTCTCTAAATTGCTCTTGCATGTTGGTAAATAAATAAATGTTTCATATATTTGTTTATATTTTCATTATAGAAACATGAAATAATAAAACGTTTCTTATCAAATAACTTTTCATTCATTTCTTTTCCTTGTTTCATTTTCAAATGTGTTCCTTTTGTTTAGAATAAATTGTAAACGGAAATTATATCTTATTTCTTAAAGATCCTGTAACTCAATTTTTATATGTTTTTTTATCATAAATATAATAGTGCTCAAATGAACATTGATCAATATTGTATGTTCCAAAAAGCATTATTTGTAAAGATATCAACGAATTTACATTTCATGTTAATAAAGGGAGGTAATTAGAAATTTATTTTCTATAAAGTCTAAGTGAAACTTTTCAATAAGAAATGAATGCATATATTTTAATGATTACATATAATGTGGACAAATATTTCCACGAAGGCCGTAGAACTGAGTGGTTAATTTGTTTGCATCAAAACGACAAAACCGGTGTTAAATAGCCGATAAACACCGCTCAGACCGATATTATTTCGATTCTAACAAGATAAAATAAGGAAGATCACTTATCTTATTTTTTCAAGCGGAAATAAATTCTGGTGCCGATTTTCGTTTAACGCTGTTCGATTTCGCACCCTACTGTTGCTAAGATATAGAAATTATTAAACAAAAGAAATAATAAGAAAAAAATTATTTTATCAAGTTTTCAAAAACAAAAACTTACGTCTTAGAATGGATTGTTTTGTGTTTACACCAGTGCCCAATTTATCATTCTTGAATGTTTGAAATGACGTCAGTGTTTATGAATGAGATGTATACTTAGGATGACGTCATTACGCTGCTTACGGATTGGCACCGTTTTGACAAAATATTTATTAACTGATATGGATCAAATCTGTGGTGTTAGTGTATGTCAGATATTATTTCAGTATTGTATGAAAAGAAAAAAATGATAAGAATTGAAAATATAAATGAAAATTGCTTTTTTATTGTTGCTTTAAAAGGCTTTGTAAACTATATAGTCGAGGGAGAAAACACAACAGCCCCATATACAAGTAGTCCCTAACCAGTGTTTATTGGCAGTTTAACACCGGTTTTTTCTTCTTTGTCTATAGTGACAAAATCACGAGGAATGTTAGAATAAAATGTTTTTAACTTCTTTCAAAGACTGTAGACTATTATTAAATTCATGTTAATGAGAAAAATTTAAATTTAATGACAAACCCTTTCAGTAGCAATGTCTTTATTGCTCATGCTATATTGTTATTCATAACATAGGAGTCATAAGTAAAGGCGTTTTCTTTAAAATGCAAAGATGTCTCGGTTTTGGTCTCTGACTTTCTATGAAACGCAGACCGGATTCTTTCTTTTTTTGGGAGTGGGGGGGGGGGCTCAGTTTTTGTATTAAAAATGGATTGCTTCTAATGTAAAATCTAGGCAGAACAACTACACAAATTCGCCAGATGAAATGGTAAGACTATAAAGATGTTTGCGACGATGCTTAACCCTAGCGGTTAAAACAAATTTTATTGCCTGTACCAAGGACTAAGGTGTAATCACTGTAACGTGTGACATTCGGAGCATGATCTTAGATACTGTAAAGCTAAAACACACTTCCTCTTATGATAAAGAAAACTGATCAGCTTGTCGCAATTCAAATACTACTCAAACTTATTTTCGCGCACAATATAATGTTTCACATGTCTGATTATAATGTTTTTTTCCACTCTTGTACGGAGTTCTTTGGTAAAAAGGGATTCCAAAATATTGACATTAAATGATCATCGGCTATGAGGTTATTCTTTAACCTAGACTATCCATTAGAGATAAAGAACAACGCAATATCTCAAGCTCCTTGAACCAGTTTTAACAGTATTCAATTTTCAACATGTTTATTATTTGAAATCCAGGCATATAACACACAATCAATTGAATCAGTAAATTTGTCTGCGATATGATAAAATCCTTTTTACTGTTAGACCATTCTTCTTGAAGTTGAATCTTTTAAATAGTATTGTAAATTGATGTTGGAAACGTATTTGAAATTAAATGAATAAAATCAGGTTTGTGTCCTGCGATGTACAAGTAAACTGATGCAGTCTTAATCTATGTAAGTCTCAAATGTGTCAGTAACTTGTTATCTTTTAAGTGGTATTTCTTTTGTCAATGGTACTTAATATCAATGACACATCTTACCGATAGAAAATATTTATTCTGCTTGATACTGATATAAAATATGGCACACATTATTTCAATTACGAGTATATTAATTGCAATGAATTATGTAATTCAAGTAATTGAACGTTCATGTAATAACTCTTAATATCTATATATTTTCAAAATGTCAACCGATTTCGGAGCGAATTCCAGATTTCTCATTTCAGGAAATAAATTACTATTCATAAGGTAATTATCATTTCGGTAATTTGTAATCATGTGAAATTTTCTAGAAATAGTCATATATTAAATGAGCATTTTTGGTTTATCCATAATGACGGAATTCAGTCTAGAATATTTTTTATCCATAAAAAAGAAAGAAATGTACTATTTGCCATGATACAAAATATTTTTTCTTCATTTTGTTTCTTTATTTATACTGAGAAATTGTTAGAAATACCGTAAGAGGAAATTGTACATGTATTGTTGCCAACTAAAGCGTAACACACTCGGAATAAATCCGAATTTAAATACGAGATGTCGTGCACACTTCTTCAGTATTGTCGAATTACCGTCGTGACTAACAGTCAGTAGTACTTAAATTGCCCATCCTTCGCCACACCCCTGTAGCAAGTTTTTTTCATCGTTTATGGTTGATGCCTTGATGTTATAGCATTTAATTAAGTTATTCACTCAACCATGAATATATCTTGTTTCTACTGGTGTATTGTACAGTAAACTGTTGTTTGTGTCATATGCTTTTGTGTAAAAGTGCCAGACTTATTTTATTTTGTATATTTTGCAGGAATACTGAAGAAAACATAAAGAGTCTCCCAATGCATTTGACTAACCAGTTTAAGACCATGCACCATGTGATTCTCAAGTTGAAGTGTTAACGTGCAAGAATGGTGATTGTGAACAATTGCATATTATATACTGAATCATCTTTTGCAAATAATGGAACAGTGTGTTATGACAATGGTGTGACAATGGCGTAAAGTTTACTACGTCGGAAAATTGTGTAATATATGGTGTTACATATATTTCAATGTTTATATACAAAAGTATCATTGTGAGACTCGGTTATGTGTGGTTATTATCTGCAATTTAAGTGATTCAAACATTTTAAGTCCGACCGAGTACGGCGGCGAACAGACGTTATTGTTTTCATTGTCCAAACTCATTCTTTAATGGTTTGTTGAACTTTAATTCTGTAAATATGTTCGGCTATGTTCTGTGTTTGTGACAGCCCTCCAAATGTCCCAGCATCTTTCAGATTATGTTGCTTTGGTTAGACCTTTGTGGAAGAATGGTTGGTATACTGGTTATTGTTGTGGCCGTGATAAGTTTATAGTAGACTAGGCCTAGATTCGGGTAACTAGGTCTCGCCCTTTGTGTTCTTGAAAGACCTAGTTTTGTAATTGGGCACCAGTTAAAGTCGTCATATTGGATCCAATTTTAAGGCTGATTATTCGGTTGTTGATCTTTGCTCCCACTGAGAGTTTCTTTGTCGGAGAGTATTAAAGCTCACCCTTCCGGAAACTTTTCACAGGGGTCGCTTTTCGACTCATTTGTATAGGTCTTGGTCAGAGCCTCATTGGAGCACCATTCCTAGACTTGAGCGGCCATAAATAGCCAACTTGATAAACAATTTTTCTCAGTTATCTGATAATCACGTATATTTGTGACGTCATTAATGTATCTTGATTGTACTGTCTCAAATTGCTGTTCTTTTGTGTTTTCTTATTCTGTGTTAATGCAATTAAGTGAACGACACTTCAGGTTTTAGGTCTTTATAAATAAAATAGATAAATGATTCTTATTTTTAAGTAAAAGCAACTTCTTCTCCAAAAATGTCATGAAAATTATGGAGAACATTTCATTTTATGCTATTATTTTTGTAATTTATTTTTAGTTTAATGATAATTCAAATTAATTTCGCGAATTTGATTGGCTTAAACACTTTGTATACGATGCCGTATAAACCTTGAAGAACCGAAACACGCAGCAATGTATTTCTACTTCATAGACAGCCACCTATGTGTTAGCATTTAATTTACCATTTGGTTCTTTTCGTGATGGCAAATTTGATTCAAATTACATTACTTGAAATGAATAGTTAACGGTACACAGCTATGAAGACTTGATAATTAAATTACTTTTAATAACTTTATTCGCGCTTCATTTAAAATCAGTCTAAAGTTGCAAATGTGTCGTCAAGAACAATTTACATTTATATAATATTGTTATAATATTGTTATATAACTTGTTGACTGGAGGGTATACGGGAGGATATAGCCTTGCTGACTTACAGTAGTAGTATCTTTATTTACATCTCATCATTGCATATACATGTTAAAACATACATATATCTTTTAAAACAGAATAAATAGATGCAATGCCATTCCATATGGAATTATAAGGGATGGTCATAAGAAACTACTTTAAAATCGAACAGTTTATCTAAACTAAACATGGTGTTTAAAAACTGTACAAGAAAAACACAAAAAATATTTCTAGTAAAACGTATATCAGAATAAAGTAAAAAAGACACGAAGAATGTAACATGTATTAATATACATGTAACTCTCGGCTTAGCGCCGCGGGTTATAATTATCTTATTCAGTCTATATTCTCCCGTTTACCTCGCCAGCAACTTAAATAACTAATAATATATAACCATTTACAGCCATCTCATTAACGCCTAAAATTACAATGCTGTTATGTTAGACTAATAACTTATTATAATAATTGTAGCAAATTGTTATATTGGTAATGTGTTATGCAGGAACTTGATGGTTTTTTTTAATTTAGATTTAAGTATATATTACTTGAAATAAATCATATCAACACCTCTTGTGGGAGTCTGTGTTTATGTAAGTACCATTTTCTTAAAACTGTAAATGATATTTTAAGTAGTAGTTTCACCATGTTAGTTCAACCATCTTTATTGCATAAACAGTTTTTTTTATTTAAATTGTAATATATATCTATAACAACTATTCATTAATTTTTGTTTCCTAAATAACGTTTGACATGTGCTGTGGGGATTATAACATTATAAATAAAATATCAAGTTTACATTTATAAATAGTTTATATATCTTATGCGTGTGTTTTTTGTCTAATGAAAAAGTTTTATATATTGAGTGATACATTGATTTCAATGGAATGTATGAATTCCTATTACATCATCGGCAACCAATTTTATTTACAGCCTGTTGAAACGAAATAAAAAGGAAAGGCCAACACTTACTCAGTATGGATTCAAAATACCGGTTCGCCTTGATTTATGTTGTCCTCGTTTTGATAACAATATCTGCAGTAAGAGGACAAAAGTGTAAGAAAGTCAGAGGACGGTGTAAAGACACAAATATAATACCAGGAAAGGGAGGGCGCTGTGCACGTATAAAAAATGGTTTTTGTGGTATGATTGGTGCTCGCAAATGTAGATGCAGGACTGGGCAAGCTCAGGGATGGACAAAATTGATTAATGGATAAGTTTGAACGAGTGCAAATTATACAACCAACCGAACAAACAAACAACAGTGTAAATTTGAATATATTTACTGGCAAATGTAGAACATTTTGACTATAGTCGATTGCGTTTAACTTGAACAAACTTATAATGACGCTGAAGTACTTTGAAATATTTTAACATCTGAATTTAAAAATCAGTCGTATATACGTGCAAACTGTAAATATGTATTGTTTCAATAAAATTTATCTATCATTATTTTGTTACACTGTTTTTAGCGATGAACACAGGGTTTTCATGATGACAAGAGCGTTGCAAATAGAGATTATACAATTACCGGGAACATTATCTGAGTTGCATCATTGATCATTATTAAGGAATATGTCATATACATGTGAACAACTGTTAGATGCAATTATATTTGTTGGTAATTTTGATAGAACCAAATAGATCTATTTACTTTTATAAATTATGCAGGAGAAAAGGGAAACAAAACATCAATTGGCATTTTTATAGAATGTTTTCAAAGGCTAACAATTTGCAAGCTATACATGTGCACGGCAATAATATAATTTATGTAGAAGATATATTTCGAATAACACAAATTTATTTCATAAATTTGGTAAAAAAAAGACCTCTTTTTTTTGCTGAATGATTCGTTAACTGGTTTTAGGTGGGAGGGGTCATGAGAGATGTTGCACTTCACATTATCTCTCATGAACAGACCCAAGTAAACCGAGACCCAAATCTTCTGTTAATTGTGTTGTTTTCATTGCATCCGATGGATCGTACCTATTCAAGATTTTCATAGTCGTAAACTAATAATCTGCGTTGGTATCGAAATGCACAGGCGCTATTCATTCAACCAAAGCGTTAAAGATTTGACAATCAGTTTCGCTTGACACCCATGCAAATATTACTGACACAATCATATTCTTACGGTCTGTCAATTTGTAATTAATTAATGAATTTTCGTAATACCGTTCATTAATTCATTTATATTTAATGTAATGCTGTTGACTTAAGCCTGCACGCAACACTTCATGTTTGTTGTTCTATATGCAATTGTAATGTTTTAAATTTTAGGATCTTTATACACAGTGATTCTATAAAATGTTATTTCACAATTATCATTTGCCAAATATCGTAATTAAATATCTAATCGTGCTTATACCGTGCATGATGTAACGCAGGATGTGCAATTCAACTGTATAATAGTAACTGCGATCGTGCAATTTCTACTGCCATAATAAGAAACAAGTGTCGTTATCATATTTTATATGTATTGTATTATATATGTATATTATGTTTTAATGAGATAACCTTCGTTGCTTCAGTGCTTTATTCACGAATTCGGCGTTACCTCGTAAAAATAGTTTTAATTACGTTCTATCTGCAAAATTAGGTGAAATATGACACGAGTAGATTGGAAAATGCCTCAGGTATACGGAATATAAGAAATCATAAAGTTATATGTACGTAATTGTATTTAAAGATATCAACGAAACAAAAACTCGCCATCAATACGCTAGTCAAGTCGTCCTTTTCACTAATGATCTTGAAAAATAGACATTTTCACGGAAATTTTTTTGATGAGGTGTAAAGTATAATGTCTCAGCGACCGTATACGCTAATTTATTACTTCCAGTTTGGTGTACAATAAAAAATATTGATTCATTTACTTATCGCGGTGCCCGTTTCAGCCACTGAAATGCACAATTCTGCGTTACTTTTGCACAATTTCTGCTTTATTTGCACATTCCTGCGTTACTGGATATACACGGTGGTATTCCTACAATGAATTTAAGCATGAAGTTGCTTAACTACACTTGAATCCTTGAATTGTATTAGTTAGATACTAGAAATACCAAATTAAATACAAAAAATCTCTTACATCGGCCAATATCTTAGCAAATCGATTATTTCTGGAATTTTTTATAAGAAAAAAATCTTGGACATTAAATTATTTACAATCACTCATCCTTTATCGCTATGTACTAAATTCCAGTTATTAACGGTTATAATTATGGAATTCCGAAGATTGTGAAAAATAACTTTCCGGAAATGACCGATTTATTTAGATATTGGGCGATGTTAGAAAATTGTTTGCGGGAAATCATTGCAATAAGACGTCCTTAATTGAAAAGCTACCAACTACAAGACGAGGGATTCACAGACTAAAAGCAGGGACTATAAGCTTATAGATACTGATTTTTAGATAGTTATGTTTATGTCCCTTGTCATGTATATGCCATATATATGAATTTCAAGGAATACCAAATATTAAGATAAGTAAAAAGCTAAGCGTTACTAGTTGATAGATACGGCATAACATTTATTACGTTATCGTCAAGTTTCTTATGCATTTACTTTTTTCCATTCAAAGTGTTTTTATTCTTTTTTAAATATTGCAAACAAATACTGTCCGAATGCTACCCTACATGTAATGTTAAAATCATTCTTGCTCTGGTCTTGTATTTGCTATTGATGGTATAGTGTGATTACCCATAAAAAGATCAAACTTCGTAATGCCAAAATCATTGCTTGGAACATTTGTCAACTGTTGTTGTTTTTCAGCGCCGACGAATTGTCCTACATGTATTTATATTGGACAATTTGTCGCATATATCGTTCATTTGTATTTAATATTTATGCCAAACCTTGTCCCATGTATTCGATATTTTCCATTTGTATTCAATAATTTCTATTTATATTATATTAAATGCTATATGACAAACATTGTCTCCGGTTAAGTGTAAATTTTCTGCCCAAGTATAAATAATTTTACATCTTCCAGTGTTTTCTCAATGTGATTTACAACTATAATTCATTATGAGATTCAATCCTGTCAATTTTACCTCGTTTTCATTTTTGCAAAGAAAGAAGAAAAAAAAACAGCTTAAATGACAGCGTTTGAAAACTTTGATGTTTTGTATATCATTGACGGATGTTTACAACAATATTATTCTTTCAATGCTGCATTTAAAAAACAATCAATGGCAAATAAAAAAATCCCCCAGAACAACGTTCAAGAGTTGTTTGAAAAATAACAACATATGTACGTCAACGTGTAATTGATTTACATAAACCTCCGCAATTTGTACCGGATGCTTTCAATGACTATGCCGGAGATGTGATAGTATAAATTACAAAGTATTTTCTCATTGTTGATAACAAAAAAGATTTTGGGATAACAAGGTGATTTATAAGAATAATTTATTTGAGAGTCTCAAATATAGAGAAGCACATCAAGAACGTTTAGTAATTTGTAAGTATTAAAATATTTAACGATTAGATAGATATAGAGAAGTAACTATAAACATTGTATTGAAGTGTTTTAACGATAAAAATACTTTTCAGAGAAAGGTTATTTCGTTATTAAACATTTGCGTTGGAATTTTATAGAGAATGTTAGGTAAAATATTTAAAAAATATCAATGTATTTGAAAGTAGTGTATATATTCATTTTTTATAATAATTAATTTCTTGATACATGTAGTTAATTTCACAAAAGGATAAACAAATTAATATAATTTGAAAATTAAAGAAATCATTTTCTTCCAGCCTGTGAGTAAGCGAAAAGAGACAATAATCTAAATACTAGAAACTGAAGCTTGTATCTTCGAAAAAATGAAGTTTGTATTGCATACTCTACAAGCAACATGCATAGTGCTTCTTATTGCTGTGTGTGTGCAGGAGATAGTTGGCCAAAGATGCCAAATGATTGGACATTCCTGTCGAGATACTGGACCTTTCTTTGGAGGGAACGGTCGTTGTGCGAGAAGCAGGCCGTTTTTTAGCTGTATAAGGATTGGGAGAAAGTGTCGATGTCGTTCGTCGATCATTCTGAACATTACCCCACCACCTCAAGTAGTTGGCATAGTTGGAGAATCAACTAATATAACGGAAGCTATGTAAGTAACTTCAAATATTGGTCATTTGTGCCTTCAGTTACATAGCATGATTAAAATGTCTTCGATAGGATCAGTGCATGTGAGTAAATACAGTTTTCATCATAATTAAAACGTCAAATTGTTTAGTACGAGTGCATGTTGTTCAATATTATCAGGCTTTTAAAATATTTTAATTTGCATATCGTGAGTAATTCTTCCATATATATACATTTGTTTCTGAAAAATAGGGTATATTAATATACGAGTATTATAATGCTTATAATTGATACACAGTGTACCGTTTATTATATATTATTTTTTTGTAGAAAAACCTACATATAATCTTCAATAAATTTGAAAGTTTAACGCTTAGACGAAAATAAATTCACTGACATGTAACTAAAAACTAACGCCAAGTGAAAGATACTTTTTAATATATGTTTTTGAGGAAAAAAGGAAACAATATATAAAACCAAAAATTATACTGTAGCAAATCAATGGAACTTAGTCAAGCTTTAAACTGAATTTCGATCCTCGATCTTCGATTTTAGTGTACTAGTAAATCATACAGTTTTGTTTTTCAATTTCAACTGTATTTATTCTCTCAATGCAATTGTCGCGACACATAACAAGTATACAATTAACATGAAAACAGGATATCATTACTTATTGTATTATACTTAAATACTTCCTGTTCTGAAATAAGAATGATTGTAACAATAGCATATTCATATGAATAGGGATTTGTTCAGAGTCATTCATCATAAGGTTAGATTATTTTAACGGAAATAAAATAATTCTGATACCTGAAATTGTGTGGAATTGATCAATCTGTTTAGAATTTTAATTAAAGCATATGCATAGATTTAAAACAGTGTTGATGATTTTTATTTTGTTCTTTGTTTTACAAGAAGTGGTTAGGCAGAAGTGTGTACGGCGGGATGCCGAGATCGCAAACCACCAGGACACGACCATGGGCTGTGTGAAAGTACAGGATTTTTGTATAGATGTATTAGGGTAGGCAGATACTCCCAGATGTCATTCAACAAAAATTTATTGAACGGCCCCTGCCCGTTTCCTACAAAAACCCTAAAAGGGTTTAATTTTTCAAAATTAAAATAAAAATAAATGATTTTGAGGGAAAAAGGAAAAACACATCCCTCTGGGTTCTTACCACTCCCGTTAAAATTTAACAAGACTGGTTTTTTCTATCATTTTAAATAAACATACTTTACATATTTTTTGTCGTGTTTTTACAAGCTTTTGTGCCCTTCATAAATTAAAAATTTACGAGAAAAACTTTTTAATAAAAAAAAAAAAACAATGCAAGCAGAAACACACTTTATGATTATTTTATTCGGTACATTTCTCTAAATTGCTCTTGCATGTTGGTAAATAAATAATTTTTTCATATATCTGTTTATATTTTCATCATATAAACATGTAATAATAAAATGTTTGTTATCAAATTACTTTTCATTCATTTATTTTCTTTGTTTTCATTTTCAACTTTTATTTCTTAAGGACCCTGTTACTCAATTTTTATATGTTTTTTATCATAAATAAAATAGTGCTCAAATGAAGATTGATCAATATTGTATGTTCCAAAAAGCATTATTTGTACAGATATCAACGTAAATAAGAAATAAATGCATATACATGTATTTTAATGATTACATATAATGTGAACAATTATGTCCAGTACATATTGTTTATAACTATATTTTTTTTGTTTAAAATGAAATTTCTTTTTCTTGATTCATTTGTGCTAATTTTAAATTTTTAGTAATCTATCTTTGAGGGCCTATTCTGTTTTTTTTAAAACTATCCTAGAAATTTTTAATTATTATGAAACTTTATTTTTTTCATATTATAAACTTTTCCCAAAAGAAAACCTTTTAAAACAAAATACACCTTAAGGGTTTAAATTTTTCCCTTTTCAAAGTGATGAAAACAAACCCCAAAAACTATAGTTCCCAGGGGGAACTTTTTTTTCAGGCAAAAAACAACAACAAAACCTAACAAGGACAACAACAAAAAATCTACAACAAAACCAAACTATCGTCATATAGTTATAAAATCAGAAACAATGTATAATGCCACTTCCGATATAAAAATGGACAGATTTCAATTTACTAGTAAGATTAAGACAATCATATCTGTTGGACACTCGACAATATGTTTGCTTACAAGAATTTATTCCTAATTAATTCAAGATAAGAGAATTAAAGTAGTATTAATGCATAGTAAATTAGTGTAACTGGCATTTCATTTTTTATAATCTTACTCATAATGGAGAGCATGTTAAGTGCTTATAAACAAAAAATTGCTTGAAGTCACAAGTGATTCAGTCTTACAATCCGCTGTAGATTAGACAAAAACAGATATTTCGCAATTTAAACTACTTGTAAATAATTGTACTTGACCTTTCGCCTTTAAGTACATATAACTGCTTAACAGTCATGGCATACAAATGTCATGGATATATATTTTAAACTCTAAAGGTTAATGCACTGATACGAAGTAAAGTACTTTTAATGCAAACAAATAGTAATCATTTTTGCACGTAAGACTAATCGAAACAAAGTCGCCACATAACAGATTAAATATGTACTTTTATAAATTAAATTTCCCTTTAAAGACACATTATGACTCAGAAAAGATTATTTTCCAAAGGGCAAACATGACTTTTATAATATTTAAATAATGGATTTAGAGAATGTTTGATTGTTTTCATTTGAATAAAATAGCGCTTAATCTGAGTATATTTGTCAAAAAAAAGTAGCAAAATGTAGACAAGTAGTATTTTGGCCTTACAAAATACTAAATTTACTATAAGTGAAACTTTTGCAAAAAAAAAAACAACCTAGAAACAATGGTGTTAGGTAATCGGAATATGAGTACTTTTGTGCGATTTCGAAACTATAACTGTTTCTTTTAGAAACAAGATTGAACAAATTTCATAAGCACAATGGGCCTTTAATTCAGTCCTAGATGGTAAGGTCAAATAAATAGGAGGTAATTTACTAAATCTCACTGATAAATTATATCCTTTAATTAAAGGCATAAATTCAAATAACTATTACTATAATTGCAAACGTAATTTCCAGTGATGTCGACTTGCAATAGTAGAAATTCTTTGTTTAGTAATTATTTGCAATTACATACAAACAATAATCGTGCTTGTAAATGTCACAATATCAAGTGCACGAAGCCTAGGTTGGGATAACGATAGGCCAGGCGTTGTTTTGTTGATTTGACAGTGACTGAAATAAGTTTGTTTAAAACTACAATCTACTGAACTTGACAAAAATATATGTTATATTCTAGTTATTATTGAAATCTATTCTGGAATTACTCTTTAAAGGTAGGTTTCATTGTGGTTTATTTACATATTTGTCAATATATCATCTTTCATTCAACTTGTTGAATTTTTTAAATGGATTGTCTAGGTTTGAATTTTGAGATGCTCATTCCAAGGTTCAAAAACTTCAATGTCAAAATACAACCGAGTTACCGACAGTTTAAATCTTGGACAGACTGTACGATGTTAATGATAAAACATTTTTGAAAGTTTGTGTTAATCAAACACACAAATGTCTTTTGTTACCTTTGTTTATTACATTTTCAGGCGACGTGTGTATATACATATACAAGTTTAACAATAAAGAAAACAACTACCACTAATTGATATGAAAATATCTGTAATGATTTGGATTGTCATGTTGCTGGTAATATTGGAGACAAGATCTGAAAAACAGCAAAGATGTATTGTACATGGAAAGGGTTGTAAGGACACTGGGCCATTAATTAAAGGGAAAGGTCGATGCGGACAAACTGGAATGAGTTGCGCTAGAATAGGAGGAACGTGTCGATGTAAATCAAAATTGATATTAAACAAACGACATTATCGAAAACTAAATTAATAGCATGAGCGACTGAGATTAATGGCAGGATGATCTACGGGGCGAATCCAAATTAACGAAACGTTTTTCCCAAGCTTTACTTCCTTGAATGAATACAAAATAATGGATTAAATGTCTAGACAGGATGTGCACAGTGTTTTAATTGCGTTTAAATATATTTGTTCTAAAGAAAATTATATTAGATAGAACGAAATTCGATCCGCACATTTTGTTAAACCGAAATTCAAATTGTAAGATTACTTTTAGCCGAATAAGAAAATGTTATAAAAAGTTCTGTTTTATGTATGACCCAAGTTTTTGTTTCTTCTACAGCTTATTATAGTGCCATAATAATCAAATAGTACTAATATTATTATATTATCTAAAGATGTAACATAACTATTGTTTTTGTTACACTATATAATAAACTGCACTTTGTCAACAGACAGTTCATAAATGTATTGAATGAAAATAAAATATTACAAAAGAACGAAATATTATAGGGACAATTTATACATTCTTTTGTCTTCCCGAAGTAAGTCTTTCCGAAGTGACCAGGGAATCATCAGTAATATTATCATTCTTGTCACATTCATCACCTTTTTAAATTCGTTCAATGTTTACAAAACTGGTTTTAGAAAGCATCCTTGTTTCCACCTTTGCAAATAAGTTGAATAGTTAATTGTCATAATAGCCTTCCATATACATGCATTATATTTAATTTAACCTGCGTTCCAGTAAATCTTTTTAAGCATTATAACTGTCCTTTTCATCAACTTGAAGACTTAGAGAATCCTTCGTTATCTTTACTTACCAAAAGAAATAAGCGTGCGGACAAAGATACTTGACTACTAGAATCAAACTGTAACGGTAATATAACGACTAGTGTAGGATGACCTCAAATGCATTTACGTGCATTATTTCAGAAACGAGCAACTACCTGAGTAGAAGAACCGACTAGCTAGCTGAATTGCTTTCTCACATGAAAGAATACAGTTTCTGGAGGCTTTCGAACCTATAGCGGTGGTTTCAAATTGTTTGTGCAGGTCTGAATTTTCAGATAAATGCAATGTTACAGTGACATTATGCCAATCCAAATGTTAAGTGCACAGGTAAATATCAAGACATTTCTTTAATTTGTCATTATTTGTTTTGATTTTGTTCATCGCAAAAATAACTATTATCCAACAAGAATAGCGTAGATTTCCTAATATATTGTTCTAAATTTATCTTCGATAGATAACAAAGAGTCTGAATGAATCTGTATTGTCATAAGAAAGGAAAGCATCTTCCCCCACAAATGAATAAACGACAAAAACATCAACATCAACAGAAGAACAAAAAAATTACCTCCAAAACAACAACAATAGAACCAAACAAATCAACAAAAAATACAAAAAACAAAAACACAAACAAAAAAAATAAAAGCGCAGATAAGTATACATACTAAGAAGCCAAATTCTTCAATTACTTTGAATGGCACTGTCGCGCAATTTAAAAAGGCAAGAACAAGTGGCTGTAATTATTGTTTTCATTGTTTGTACTGAAATATATAGTTCTGTACACAAAGTGCATAGAGTATAAAAATCTTAATTGTGAGCAAACACTAACAAAATCGTTCTCCATCTTACTTAAAAATGTTTAAATAAATTATTTCCTTTTTAAATATGCTATATTTCTACAATCTTTTTTCAGTCATAGTATTGGTATATAAACACACAAAATAAAACTAGAGCTTTGATAGCAGATTGAGAGGGATATATTGTTTACTTTTGTAAATGTTTTGTATTATGGTTGGAAAATCATATTTTAATGAAATCCGTATTGAATATACAACGAATGATGAATCAAGAATCTCAGTTATCAAGTATGTTCTATATTTTAACTCTCATACACTTTCCCAATGTATCGCAATAATATCACAAATTACTTTTAATAGCTTAAAGAACAGGATCTTGCCACTTTGTAACTTCCCGTTATTATATGAATAGGGACTACCAGTTAAAAAACACAACGCATTTCTGTATATTTAAAATAAACCAATGAGCACGGTAAATTTCTATCTGATTTTAAAGCAAGATAATATCTAGGAATGATAATCAAATTTACATAATAGAGCTGTAATTTAGGAATATTTTATGCAGTCATTAATCAGGTAACATTTATTTTATAATAGTTTAACTAAATCAAAGTATTAACAACTTTTACAATTTATATTTTCAGATGAATACTAAAAACGCTTAAATAGCTCTCGATAAAAAATGATGAGTACACGTTCAATAAAATTCGTTTTGGCTGCCTTTCTTTTGCTTGCTGCTCTTCAAGAAATTGTCGGACGACGGAAGTGTAGACGATGGGGAAATACTTGTAGAGATCTCAAACCACCAGGCAGCAATGGAGGTCTTTGTGAAAGGACGGGACCTTTCTACAGATGTATCAGAATTGGACGGTATTGCAGGTGTCGGGCATCAATTGTCCTACATCGTCCTCCACATTCGTCCACGGAATCTGACGACGAGGATTTCATTCAAAGAGAGTAGCATGGCAAGGAGCAGTAAAATAAATGCAGATTGTGTGGCATAGATAGTGTGCATAAAACAAATTGTCTTCTTGACGTGAATCAACATGTGAAGATTCTGTGGTTAAATTATGTTATTTTTTATGGATTTTGAATTTGCTTATGTTAGAATTTCTTACATGCGAATCCAGTTACTTTCAGACACGGGCCTAAATGAATCTCTGAAGCTTTGTTAATGATCATTATTTTCTGCTTATGCAAAAATATCGCATATGAAATGTTGTTTTCTCATTCTATCAAATTCATAATAAAGTAACTTCTACAAGTACACAAAAAATATTACGAATTGTTATTTTCGTAAACAAAAAAAAATATAACAAATCAATGTAGTAAATATTTTCAAGTATTTCTATACTATATTTATGTTCACAAAGCCAGTAGAATCTTATGGTTACTGTAAAACTTATAACAAACTATAAATTGAACACGATAACTTTCACATTATTCGATCGAATCATCATCATATAATTGTTTTGAAAGTTATTCAATTATTACATTTCACATTTTTATTGCAATACCGAAGAATGATATAAGTGTATAGGAACATGTTAACCGGAGTAGCATAGTGGTTATCGAGTTGTTTTCAAAGTTCAAATCTGCAATTGTGCACTCATTAAGTGTTTTCTTTTACTTTCAGAATATATTTTAATAACTTGTCACGAGAGTTTTGATTTTATCTTATATAAAAGTGTAATTTAATTAAAATATTGCACAATTGAAAGTTAAACTTATCACGGTTAAACACAACTAAAAGTATAGGATTATCTCTGAACACATTATTAATTTTATTCTATTTTGTTTCTGAATTCCATTTGCCACATGTTTAACAATCTTGGCTCATTTGTATAATTATATCTATTTTCTTCCATTGCTATTTATTCGGTCATTTTTCACCTAATTCTTATTTTCGGCATTGTTGACTATAACTCGATCTAGCTGTTGAATACGAATCTGTGTTAAACTATGATGTTCTGAACGTTGCAATCCTGTTCGTTGAAAATTGCCTTTTCAAGGAAACAAACAAGGATCTCTATACTCACCGAGCGGACACTCTACAACTACAGTATTACGCTGAAAAGACAAAACATGAGTAATTGTTTAGGTGGTTATATATTTAGGCATACAAATAATATGCTTTTATATAAGAATGATCGACAACCGTATTTGTCATTTTTAATGTAAATAGATAACAAAATGAATAAAGAATTCGAGCTGTATGTATCCTTATATTACTATTTCCCCCTTTTTAATGACAAATTATAACGGTAATGTCGTCTGACAAAACTTTAACCATATTGTTTTTATAAAATTTTCTTCATGTCATTAGAAAACGACTCCTATAGAACAACAGCCTCTCGACCGAACGCAAGTACTGTTTTTAAAAATTTTCTACAACATTCATCCTTGAAAGGTAAACTATATATATTCTGATAAGTGAAGCCAAGTGCGTTTTATTTGAGGTTGATCGTAATGACTTGCTATAATTGGTTCACTCCTGTATTTCAAGTTTACTTTAACTCTTACCTTGAATGAATGTACATATCTGTCTTAATTACAGGTATATCAACCGTATACCTATACTTGCTATATGTTATCTTTAGATCTGTTGTGAGTGTTACGCAAGCATATTCGGACCGGCGATTATCAGATCATAACAAACCATACTTCTTAAATGGTGCAGCATTCAATTGAACTTTGTTTGTCATCACCAAGTCAACCCGTCAGATTACTTAGATCAGCAATGTCAGCACACTCCATTACATAATGTTCCAATTTGTCAACGTTTACAAGATGTCTTCGCAAAATTGTCTTACTTGTGTAGCGAAAGTGGCTGCGAATGGTTTAAAATACATAGACCCTAATATGTAAATGAGATTGCCAGCCCGTCTGTTCATCATTTTATTGAATGTATTCATGCTTAGTTTATAATAATTATCTAATCAGTGACTTGTAAAATTTGGAACAAAAATTATATTTTACACAATAAAATGCCCTTATATAGCTTAATACCCTTGATGAATCTTGATGAAACTTGTTGGTACAAATCCACCTATCAATTATAATAATTCTTATTTAAATTCAGAAAAAGTGTCAAACTGCTTCTAAGATATGGATTTGAACGGGCGGGCGTTCTATATGCGTTGACGTTACTGGGCTATTTGACCTTCAACCCATAAGCAATTTTAATGTTTTTTTGTAAATGCAATTCAGAAATGACAAGTAGTTATAATATAATAAAGTAGCCAATGAGCTAGCAGTATGCCTTGTCATATCACCATTTTTCTAGTATGATAAGGTGATTCAGTTGATACAATGATAGCAGGCAAGGCAATTTCCTGTTAATATGTTATTGTGTTGCAATAACGTCGAATAGTGTTATTATTTACACTTATTTACTATCATCATTTGTTTTAATAAATGTCATACTATCTAGAGTATGATACTTTAATCACTGTATGAAGGGTCATAAAATGTCGAGTCGATTAATTTGACAGTCACTCCTGATAATCGTTTCGAAAACAAAGATCTGCTTTTACTCATGTAGACAACGAACAAATACAGCAGCAAATTCTGCAGTGGGAATCTTAATTTTTGCAGCTTTAAATTAAATCAACAAAACTGGGATACAACAAGTAAGCATTGTTATATTTCAATATTATAAACAGATATCTGTTAGAGGGATTCATCTAATCCATATTAATTTTATGTTTTTAAGTGAGAAACTTGGGTTAATCGGTGTCATAAAATCCGTCAAATTATATTACAAATACGATGAGAAATATACCTCTGCCGGGCGTACGTTTTATATCAATAATTCTGTAAATTTGTATATTTACATGGAAGATAACTATTGTATATTTTTGTAAATGACTTATTTCACTATTTAATTTACATCATCATATTCTCAATGCTTTAATGTACTTTAATAATTACTTTTTTATGCTGCGATTGCGTAGCCGTTGAACATATGATGTTATATTTTGTACATGTATCTCTTTCCCGCGCTTCAATAAAACAGTCGAACATTGCTGTTGTTTTACTTATAGGTCATAAAGTAAAATTTGTTTGTTTTACGTGGATATACTATATATCGCATATCGAATTGAGAAAATATTTACAATTTCACTTGAGCTACGCTCTTGTGAAAATATAGCGATTTTGCACTTCTCCGTGTGATATATAATATTTATTCACTCAAAATAAACAAATCTACTCTATATAAAATGCAATTCATTATCTAGATTGATTTCAAATTTTATATTATTATTATTTTCATGTGATGACTGATACAACAAAACAAATTTTCTCACTTAAATACAACTTTATTGAAAAATTTTCTTTAAGATCTTTCTTCAAAATTGGTAATTTGTATATGCATATTCTATGTCAACTTTAATGCGTTCCATTACAAATAAGTCAGTCTTGATATTGATAAAGACTTTCCTAAATGTTTCAAGATATATCGCGTCTTATTTCTGTTTAAACCGTTGCTAGGAAGCTTGAATCTATTTTATCGCTGCAGTCCATAAAAAACTAGCATTATTTCGGGCGACATTTCAGGTTTCCTTTATAATATATTTTAAAAGATTATCAGGCTATATAACGGATGCCTGTAGTTTACAAAAATTATTATTTAAATATTGAATAAGGAATAATGCCAAGATATCTTTATGAAAGAAAATTGATTGCAAATTTCTTTAAGAGCGTGTGGCGCATGCACAAAATCATCGCTAAACGATTAAACACTTCTTAAAATGGAGTATTTCTTTCTTTCTTTATACGTGCACTAGTCATCTGTGGTAAATACAGAGAATTGTCTTTGCTAAAGCGAGAAAAAGTCTACAGAAACAACATTATACCTTTTGCTAAATTTAATAAAAAGTATTTGAAACGATATAGCTTTATACCCTTTTTAACTAACAATGGCTAATTTCATCATATTTTTATGGACATTATGTTTTACATCATTTCAGGTCACACTGAACAAGATTAAAATTTATACTAAAGGTTACAGCAGACAGTCACTATGCAAAACTTTGCTATGCCTCTGATTTTGACGGTTGTCATAGCACTTATTTTACAGACGAACTCCGAACCAAGTCAACGATGTATACTCGATGGGAAAGGCTGTGTAGACACCGGACCTTTCATTGAAGGACAGGGTAGATGTGGACAAATCGGACCAGACACGAGCTGTGCTAGGATAGGAGCAACATGTCGGTGTAAATCGAAATTGGTTTTAAATAGACGATCAAGCATCAGGATAAATAACCAGCCAGTTCTTAAATGATTTGCCTAGATACAAGAGAAATAAAAACAATGTGAACAACTAATAGAAGATTAATGAATATACTTTTTCCGTTCAAATTCATCTTTTAAGTATTCTAGCTAAATCAAACAAAAAAGTTGAAGAAATAAAATTAAGCTTTGAAATTTGTTTTTGTGTTGCTTTTATCAGACATAAATGAATTATTTGATATTGATAAGAAATATTTGTTAATGATAGTAACTTTATCATTTTTTCTACAAATGTATGAATTCGAAAAAAGTGTTGTAAAACGATTTAACAACTTACTACCATATTTGAAATATATAACAGGAAAGTTAAACAAAACTTTATACAGGAATTCAAGAGTTGTTTGTATGACAGCATGCTCTATCATTTTAATTACTTGTTAGTGGTTGAGGGACATTTTTCAAGAAAAGAGCTCTACTTGAAAGCGTATTTAGATGAAGTCTTTAATAAAACTATACAGAGATATTTCCTCTTGTCTGAAAGTGGAGTTGATATTTACTTACAAGTATTCAAAGTTTCACAGCAATATAGTACATATAAAAATAATTAAATACCAGTATTTTGATTTATTAGTTAATGAACTATACGATACTTGCAATTAATCTTTTACATCAGTTCATTATAACATGAATCATAGCAATAATAAGGTTCGTAATAGAACAACAACATAATTATTTTTATAAGAGCTGGACTTATCGTCTTGAAAAAATACAAGATTAGTGATCGCCTGTCTTTGTCCTTTTCTGTACTCATTTTAGACTCGGAATATTCAAATAACATTAGTCTGGGTGATGCCTTTTGACCATTTAACTCATATTTGTTGTTCTGCCTAATACCACCTATAAAACGGAAAAGCAGATAAACGCCGCTAAGACAGATAAGACAGATATAAATGTGTCTAATTAATTTAGATGTGTGAAGTTGGCGGCCTAGCGGCCTGGCGGCCTGGCGGCGTGAAGTTGGCGGCCTGGCGGCCTAACGGCCTGGCGGCGTGAAGTTGGCGGCCTAGCGGCCTGGCGGCCTAGCGGCGTGAAGTTGGCGGCCTAGCGGCCTAGCGGCCTGGCGGCCAAAAATTTTAATGTTCTAGAAATGTTTTTTTTAACAATAAAACGGCATTTAATGAAGTTTTAAAGATAATTATTGTTATTTAAACGATATATCTAAAGAAAAAATCACTTTCAGAGATTTTTTTAATTTTGTCATTTTTGTGAAGTTGGCGGCCTAGCGGCCTGGCGGCCTAGCAGCCAAAAATTTTAATGTTGTAAAAATGTTTTTTTAACAATAAAACGGCATTTAATGAAGTTTTAAAGATAATTATTGTTATTAAAACGATATATCTAAAGAAAAAATCACTTTCAGAGATTTTTTTAATTTTGTCATTTTTGTGAAGTTGGCGGCCTAGCGGCCTGGCGGCCTAGCAGCCAAAAAGTTTAATGTTGTAAAAATGTTTTTTTAACAATAAAACGGCATTTAATGAAGTTTTAAAGATAATTATTGTTATTTAAACGACATATCTAAAGAAAAAATCACTTTCAGAGATTTTTTTAATTTTGTCATTTTTGTGAAGTTGGCGGCCTAGCGGCCTGGCGGCCTAGCAGCCAAAAATTTTAATGTTGTAAAAATGTTTTTTTAACAATAAAACGGCATTTAATGAAGTTTTAAAGATAATTATTGTTATTTAAACGATATATCTAAAGAAAAAAATCACTTTCAGAGATTTTTTTAATTTTGTCATTTTTGTGAAGTTGGCGGCCTAGCGGCCTGGCGGCCTAGCAGCCAAAAATTTTAATGTTGTAAAAATGTTTTTTTTAACAATAAAACGGCATTTAATGAAGTTTTAAAGATAATTATTGTTATTTAAACGACATATCTAAAGAAAAAATCACTTTCAGAGATTTTTTTAATTTTGTCATTTTTGTGAAGTTGGCGGCCTAGCGGCCTGGCGGCCTAGCAGCCAAAAATTTTAATGTTGTAAAAATGTTTTTTTAACAATAAAACGGCATTTAATGAAGTTTTAAAGATAATTATTGTTATTTAAACGATATATCTAAAGAAAAATCACTTTCAGAGATTTTTTTAATTTTGTCATTTTTGTGAAGTTGGCGGCCTAGCGGCCTGGCGGCCTAGCAGCCAAAAATTTTAATGTTGTAAAAAAATTTTTTTAACAATAAAACGGCATTTAATGAAGTTTTAAAGATAATTATTGTTATTTAAACGATATATCTAAAGAAAAAATCACTTTCAGAGATTTTTTTAATTTTGTCATTTTTGTGAAGTTGGCGGCCTAGCGGCCTGGCGGCCTAGCAGCCAAAAATTTTAATGTTGTAAAAATGTTTTTTTAACAATAAAACGGCATTTAATGAAGTTTTAAAGATAATTATTGTTATTTAAACGATATATCTAAAGAAAAAATCACTTTCAGAGATTTTTTTAAGTTTGTCATTTTTGTGAAGTTGGCGGCCTAGCGGCCTGGCGGCCAAGCAGCCAAAAATTTTAATGTTGTAAAAATGTTTTTTTTTAACAATAAAACGGCATTTAATGAAGTTTTAAAGATAATTATTGTTATTTAAACGATATATCTAAAGAAAAAATCACTTTCAGAGATTTTTTTAATTTTGTCATTTTTGTGAAGTTGGCGGCCTAGCGGCCTGGCGGCCTAGCAGCCAAAAATTTTAATGTTGTAAAAATGTTTTTTTTAACAATAAAACGGCATTTAATGAAGTTTTAAAGATAATTATTGTTATTTAAACGATATATCTAAAGAAAAAATCACTTTCAGAGATTTTTTTAATTTTGTCATTTTTGTGAAGTTGGCGGCCTAGCGGCCTGGCGGCCTAGCAGCCAAAAATTTTAATGTTGTAAAAATGTTTTTTTTAACAATAAAACGGCATTTAATGAAGTTTTAAAGATAATTATTGTTATTTAAACACTATAAACACTCTATAAAATTTAGTGGTGGGGTTTTGTCCACTCTATAAAATTTTGAGTGGTGGGGTTTTAACTGGTGGGGTTTTGTCCGTCTTCCGTGTTATGCAGTTGATGATTTACCATAATTTTAATGAAAACTTCTAAACTAAATAAAGGTAACTATTGATACATAATTATAAATAAAAAAGCAAAAGTTCATTATTCATCAATTTTTAGGGAGTATAATATAAATTATTCATCAATTTTTATGGAGCATAATAATACATTAGAAACCTATGAAACAAGGGGATTTTTCCCGGGTAGTGAAGGGGATTTTGTCCAGCCTTGCAAAAAATGAAGGGGATTATGTCCACCCATGAAGGGGATTTTGTCCGGGTAGGTGAAGGGGATTTTGTCCGAAGGGGATTATGTCTGACATTCCTTTTAAACACATAAAAAACACAACTTTAATACACTATATGTAAATTTGATTGACCATGGGGGGGGGGGGCTTTTGTCCTACCTTACTTTTTTATGGGGGGCTTTTGTCTTATGTGTTAATTTCATGGGGGTGAAGGGGTGGGGGCTTTTGTTCACATTGTCATTTTTAGACGGGGTAGGGGCTTTCGTCCGGGGCGTGCTTTTGTCCGTATCCCTTTCACAAAATGCTCATGAAGTAATGTGTTAAAGAGCTTTTTTTTCAGTGGAAATAATTATTTCAGCGAATGTACCTTTTTTAATTTATTTTATTTTATTTTTGCCACTGGGAATGTTCGGTACCATTGCCCAATTGGAGCCTCTGTAAAAAAAATTTCATTGTTATATAACAGACCTGTGCGCAAAAAAAAAATCAACTGTTATATATCATTCGAGATTTTTTCCTATCTGAAGCAATGAAAAAATTGTACTGTTATATATCAATACAGTTTTCAAATGCTCATTGATAATGGGTAAGTAAGAACAAATGAAAAGTTCCAAACCATGCGATAACATCTTTAATGACCCAGTGACATCTGACCAATTTAAAAGCAGCCGATAAATATCATTTTCTAGCAGATTTTATGGAAACCCATGGCTGTCTGATATTGTTCTTTTTCAATTTATGTAACCATTTGGATAATATATGAGTTCACTTCGACTATATATGAATTGAAAACACCTTCTTATTTAACCGGAATCCATTATATTAATCCACAGTAACAATATATGAAACCATACTGTCAGTGTATGAAACCGAGTTAGCAATATATAAGTGTTGTTTTTCTCAATATATGATTCCAATTCTTCAATATATGTTACCAAAGTAGCCATGTATGGAACCAGATGTCCTGATATGAAACCGAATTATCAATATGTTAATTCATTTTTACAAAATATGAAACTATTTTATCAATGTATGGAACCAAAGTAGCAATATATGAGTTGGTTATACAAATTATTCAATATATGGAACCAAAGTAGCAATGTATGAAACCAGGTGTCCTTCTATGAAACCAAATTATCAATATAGTAAATCATTTTTACAATATATGAAACCATTTTATCAATGTATGGAACCAAAGTAGCAATATATGAGTTGGTTATTACAATATATGATTCCAATAATTCAATATGTGGAACCAAAGTAACAACGTATGGAACAAGGTGTTCTTATATGAAACCAAATTATCAATATATTTATTCATTTTTACAATATATGAAACCATTTTATCAATGTATGGAACCAAAGTATCAATGTATGAGTTGGTTATTACAATATATGATACAAATTATTCAATATATGGAACCAAAGTAACAATATATGGAACGAGGTGTCCTTATATGAAACCGAATTATCAATATATTCATTCATTTTTACAATATATGAAACCATTTTATCAATGTATGGAGCCAAAGTATCAATATATAAGTTAATTGTCACATTATATGATACCAGATATTCAATATGCCCTTATATGAAACCGAATTATCATTATATTAAGTCTTTTTTACAACATATGGAACCATTTTATTAATGTATCGAACCAAAGTAGCAGCTAGTATATAAGTTGATGTTACATTCTATGATAGCAATTGTCATTATATGGAACCAAAATAGCCTATTTTCAAGTCAACAAGTCAAAGACCGAGGTCACTGGGTTACAATACATAAACTTTTTCATGAAATCAATTATTATTTGACAAGTTATTTTTTAACTTTGTCAGTAGATTAACCTTGATGTGTCCTTCTGGCA